TCTTTGTGGCAGCCCCTGAGATATTGGAACACTGCTATCATGTCCCCCCTCGTCCTTCTCTTTGTTAAACTAGACATACCCAATTCCAGCAACCGTTCCTTATATGTTTTAGCCTCCAGTCCCCTAATCATCTTTGTTGCTCTTCTCTGTACTCTTTCTAGAGTCTCAACATCTTTTTTACATCGTGGTGACCGAAACTGGATGCAGTATTCCAAGTGTGGCCTTACCAAGGCATTGTAAAGTGGTATTAATACTTCACGTGATCTTGATTCTATTCCTCTGTTAATGCAGCCTAGCACTGTGTTGGTTTTTTGGCAGCTGCAGCACACTGCTGGCTCATATTTAGGTGATTGTCCACTAGGACTCCGAGATCCCTCTCACAGTTACTACTATTGAGCAAGGTACCCCCTATACTATACCTGTACATTTGGTTTTTCTTGCCTAAATGTAGAACCTTACTTTTTTCACCATTGAATTTCATTTTGTTAAGATAGCGCCCAGTGTTCAAGTCTGTCCAGATCCTCCTGTATCCTAAGCCTGTCTTCTGGAGCTTGGTATCGTCTGCAAATTTGATGAGTTCCCCATCTATCCCCTCGTCCAGATCGTTGATGAAGATGTTGAAGAGCACTGGGCCCAGAACAGAGCCCTGGGGCACCCCACTGCAATGAAGCTCCTGTTTATATTTTTTTTAGCCCAATTCTGTTAAATAAATGTAAGTAGAGGCAAAATTGTTTTCTGTTTGTGTGTGTGTGTGGGGGGGGGGATATGGCACTTTTAAGAGAAAATCACTGGCGTAGAAAAGATTAATAATTCCCACTCAGCTAATGGGCTTTTATGTTAAACTGATAAACACACAATTTGTGTTTACACAATTCTTAATTAAACATTGTATGTATTTATATGGTCTATTTCTCACTGAGATAATAAATCTGGACTATAACTAGAAATTTATATTTCAGACCATTTTGCAATTTCCTTTTAAAAATATCTATATCTGCACACGTGAATATCAAGAAAATAATCTAGATAGGAACTCTCATTTTACAGGATTTCCCTCTAATATATGTCTCTAATTATAGTTTGACGATATGCAGTGAAGATACAAGATTTGCTCATTTGATATTTGTGAAAACAAGGATTATCCTATTTGAATTGCAAGTTTTAATTCAATAGTAATTCTCAAGCAGTTGAAAAATGTTTGTGCTCCTGGATAAATTGACAAAATCTCAGTATATTCCAACATTCTGGCAGCTAATAACTAAAAGCCATGAAAATATGTATCAGCTGTGTAGTCTATTTCATGTTTTCAACAAATGATATATTTTTAATAGATTGCACAATTTTTAAAATGTCAACAGTATTACTTAGTGATGAGGAATGTAGAAATCCAATCTTTGGAGATGGCTGGACGTCTTCTTTGCTTTTTGGGAGAGTTAGCTGTCTGTGTTCATCATCTTGGTACGATAACCTGTAATTGAAAATGCCATTTTTGTCCAAAATATACGAATTAGCCAACATGTTGCACAGTTCTTAAAGAGGAACACAGCCTCCTCTATCAGATTTAATTAGGTTAATGTCAAACTATATAATGTAGGGTTAGTGGTCTAATCCCCGAATCTGCAGATTTTGCCTCTCAGTTCTGTTCCAAATAGCAAGCTGTTACTCATTCTATAATGGAATGATGAAATATTTGAGAATGATGTTTTAGTATGAGTTTCTTTATGCCTTAGTTTTCAACCATATTTCTTCCTTAAATAGTCTACCATACTAATTATATGCACAATAGTATAGTTAGGAATACATTGGTAATTCATCCAAAAATTAGGAATATATTGGTATGTGGGAGCAGGTTTTTATAACCTCCAGCAATTGACAATCCAAGTATCAGATTCTTCTCACTATGGAGAACTAATCTGGGAGCTAGCTGGTGATAAAATCCAGAAATAATTCCTTTATGGGTATGATATACATATGTCTAGCTTTATGACTTATTTATTTTCATACTACAGCACTAAGTTATTAATTCAGATAACATGATTTGCCTACAAATACTATACATGCTTGTTCCCTCTCCCCCCCTATCTTTGTATATTCTATTATCTGAAACAGCAAATGACAATTTAAACTATGGTATAAATATATGGAAAAATTATTAATGTATTTCTAATCTGGAACTATTGGAAAGGCAAGACTGAATTTTGTGATTTCATTCCTAAAAATTCCAAAACAACTTGTATACTGCAATAAAATACTCACATTTCAGGTGATAACAAATTTGGTTCACTACAATATTCAGTTTCTTCATTTAATTGCTCACTATATGTTTCATCCTCCTGAGGAGCTTCCTCTTCACTAACAATTGCTACTTGGCTGTCTCTGGAATAGGATCTAATAAGCAAAAAAATCAGAATGATTTATGGTTACTGAAGAAAATCTAGAAATTCTGCAGTGGAAACACTGACTCTGTTGCATTATTTTTAAACCGCTCCTGGCAAAATTAACTTATAAGAAAACTTATCTGCCTATCCTAAGTCCTTGGAAAGGACTTGTAGGTGGACAAAAATGCAAAATCTAGTCTGAACATCTGGCTGCTTGTGCAACAAACCATAATATATTAAATGTATATACTATCTGACTCCCAATGACTCTGGGCAGTTTACAATTGTTAAAGCATTTAAAAACAAAGAACAATGTGAAAACATAAAAACAGCACAAGACAAAAGAACAAAATGGCAAATAAACCCAGAAGAGAACAAAAAGGAAGAAAGGAGTGTTAGTCTTCTTTTTAAGGTTCTTTAAAATATTAACACAGTGGGAACCATTCAAATTTTGAGGTGAACCTTATTCCAGATAGCATTATTTGGAACCCAGGATGTGCCAACCCTGCCAAATTGAATTGGTCTGGCAACCGAGATACAGATCTCCTGTGTGGAAATTAATTTGGAAATGGGGAAGCAAGATATGAAGCATCTGCCTTAGATTTCCTGTTCATCATGCTTGTCCATACTTCTGAAACAGAGTAATAATGAAGGTTTTTGAAGAAACAAATCTAAACCTACATCAATACTCAAATGGTCTATTAGTATTGCTCAGGGCTCATGTATTTAATTGCATTTTATCTTGTTGGGAGAGTAGCTTTTAAATTGCTTTGCTTCCAGCAAACCTACATACACATCTTCTTGAAGCATTTATTTTGCCATTACTATCCTCTCACTGGTATTTGGTGAATCAAGTGCATTACTGTGAATTAACTGAAATAACTGCCACTGTTTTATTCTGAGTTTAGGAATAAATCAGAGGGACAGATGATTAATGCTTTCCGTGTATCTAATTTTTTTGCTATTTTTTTTTTTAAAAACAAGCTAGTTGTAAGTGCAACTGTGATTCAGGAAACAGCACAGGAAGAACAAATTGATCCCTGCCACTGCTCCAAAAAGACTGTCAATTCACATAACAGCATTCCAGCGATGATTATTTTTTTATTGATTAGATGTATGTAGCTATCTGACGTATAATCATGACTCTAGGTGGCAGTATACCCAATAAAAACCAAGCAAAAAACATCTGAGTACAGTTAAGCGACCATCAGAAGTAATGCAACCCATGGGCAACATATCAACAATATAGAGACAGGGTCAATCAATCCCTGTATTTTGTTTCCCAGAAAACAGGGTCATCTGTCATCCTCACCGAGTATCTAAAGGGGAAAAGTTCTTTTAAAGCTTCCTGCAAGGTGAAGAGAATTGGGGCTATCTGAGCTTTGAGTGGGGTGGGTTGGGATAGGTCAGGGGTAGGCAACCTTGGCTCTTTTATGACTCGTGGACTTCAACTCCCAGAATTCCTGAGCCAGCGTGGCTGGCTCAGGAATTCTGGGAGTTGAAGTCCACAAGTCATAAAAGAGCCAAGGTTGCCTACCCCTGGGATAGGGATTATTCCAAAGTGAAGACATTGCCATAGAAAAGGCATTGCCTCAGGGAGGAGACCTGAAACATGTCCATCCTGTGAGAGAAAGTAGGATAAACCCAAAAGCTAGGGACAAGTGGTCCTGCAAATAAGTTGTTAAGATTGTATATAACTTGTAGTTTGACCATAACATCAACACTGATTCAGTGTAACTGAAATGCATTTTGGATAAGTAATCCACAAAAATATTCTAATTTTGTTGTTTACAATAGTAACAAACCTCTTACTTATCTGTGTTATAGCAATATTGTTCTCCTCCTTCACTACACCTGAAAGCTAAAATTTAACATGATTTGATAAATGAATGTTTATATGAAATATAGATGAACAGCAAGATTACCTCCCTAATGTTTCATAATAATGTGTCCTAACTCATTAGGAAAGCATGGGAAGAAAAAAAATAGAGATGGGAAGAAGGAAAGAACGTGGTATTTTTGGATTGCTATAGTTTTGCAGAGTAAGGGAGAAATCTGGATCACAGATCTATTTGCCTACTTTTAAAAATTATGCTTCAGAAAACAGGGCAAACAGTCAAGTTGCCTTGCTATGAACTGACGCAATCTCATCAAAAATATTAACAACAATTAGTATTTCCTATTAAACAATATTATTTTAAAAATAATTAAACTACAGAGGATCTCAATATGACATTTTACATGAAATTTCCTCAGTACAGTATACTAAACAATCCACCTAGTTGTTAAGGGTAGTTGCTGCCAGTTTAAAGTAAATTTTTCAAATTAATAAAATGGTTAGATTTAGATGTCCAAAGGATTTCAGCAATACTTTTTCAGCAATCCCAATTTCATTTCAATATGATAAGCATTAATCCCATTAAAGCTTTTTAATGCCTATTTTGTCAGGATTGAAAGAGGGCAAGAACAAGGACTCTGGCTCTATTTATCTACAAGTTGAATTCACCATAAAAAAATTTTGTTTTATCTATCACAAAGATATTAGGTCTTGCATCAACTCCTAGGATGTAGTGCTTATTCATTGCCAATTATTCTTTTGCTCTTTCTACATGGTCTAAGCCTATTTATTCTGAAGGAGCACAGTAATGAGGGTTAAAGAATACACGGAAAGAAAAATAAAATGAAGCTTTTAGACACAGATTGATCTTGGTTATATTTTTTATACTTTACTTTTCATACTTTAATTATATCACACATATCCTCAATATTTGCCTCTTTATATTGAATATTTTAAAAGAACTTATAGGCACAAAGACCTCACAATGGATGGTTAATTTAGAATAAATAAAGTACTTTTCTTGCATTAGCGCACAAAATTAACTAACAAAAAATATTGCCCCTAGGGTACAACCTCTTCTTCCAGGAGTACTCTGGATCATCATATCCTGGGTCTACCTACTGCTTTTGGGGTGGTAGTTTGATAACTCTAGAACCCATCACCAAAAGCTACCAAGATAAAAATAATTTAAATAGTCCAAAACTCCTGGCTGTGTTGTGTTGAGATGAAGACGAATAGAAGTCCTTCATGCCCCCCCCCCCTTACCTATAGGAGAAAATCAATTTGACAGGAGTAAAATAAAATTAGATTTCTTAGATAAAGGAAAAAATCCTGCCAAAATAAAAAAACTAGCATGCAAAATGCAACATGACTTAAGTTTACGAAGCAAAGAAAATGCTAGATAATGCTTGTCTGCTGTAAATAGAAACAGGTTTTTTCCTGCCGAATTTTGATACTGCAGAAATTTCAATTTGGATTATAAACACGATATCGCCATGCTTACCCCGATGAATGGATAATTGGACACACTTCACTAGGTTGCACAAAGAAATTTTTTTTAAAAAGCATCACAGAGAAAAAAAATCAGAATTTCTGGCTGGAACATCTATTTCTCAAATACATTTTCTGTTTCAATCTTCCTGGATTTCCCATTTTCCTGGGATTCCCAAATATTAGAAACAATTCTATATTAAGACTGACATCTATCAAAGCTCTTCTTAGATTATGAAGCTGTAATATTAATTATGTAACAGACATTAACTTTCTGGCCCAAATGAGGAAGAACTAATAGAAGTTTGAGCCTTGGAATTCCATTTGCAGGTAGTCCATTCAGAGTTGTTTTTGCAACTGGAGAAACTGGGAACCTACTAAGTAGATAAGTAAATGAATACTGAGAAGCCTCAGTTTACATTCTTGGGTTCTGTTATAGGATCTCTTATATGGTGATTTTATTTTAAAATTTCTCAAATAATGACAAATAATAAAACATTATTTTGTAATGTGTTTGGACTATCCAGAGGACTCATATATACCTCAGATAGCCACTTTGGCCTAGTGGTTAAAGCTAGAAAGCAGGAGACTGAGTTCAAGTCCCACTTTAGCCATGAAAGCTTGCTGGTAGACTTTACAGTAGTCACTCTCTCTCAGGCCTACTTACCTCACAGGGTTGTTGTGGGAAAAAAATAGGAGGAGGGTGTGTTGGGTATGTTTGCCGCCTTGAATTATTTGTAAAAATAATGAAAGTGGGATACAAATAAATAAAATAATCCAATAGTCTTATTTACAAAGCAGATGGAAAGGAGTCAGGGCTGAACCTGATAGATTAGGACTAAATACTGTCTCTATTCCTTTTTTCAACCATTACATTGCAGCACATTTTTGATGATGTACTTACTCCTAATTCTTTATTAAAATTTAATATAATAATTTATTTTCTGTTTATTTTAAAATATATAACAACTTAAAATTAATTATATTTTGAAACGTATGGAATAGCCTTTTTCATCATCTTCTGGCAGGGAGTATGTGTGTGTGTGTGTATAATATATATAAATATAAATTATATTTATATATATATATACATTTGAGACGTGTATATATTTTCAAAAAAATGACAATTTTTTTTGAAAATATATACACATAATGTCTCAAATTTCTATTATATTATTATATATTCCTCTGAAGTTCCATGTACAATTATAATGATCTATTAAACTGGCAAACAATAGAAATATTGCTGCTGTCAACAATCTTTACCTTCTGCAACTGAACTTCCAAGGAACTTCCTGGATCCGTACAGTGGTGGAGGAAGGGGTGCTGTAGCTGTCCACGGTGCTGACGGTGTTGGGATAGCTTGGTGGATTGTAAAAGCGGCTCAAGGCAGTATTATTGGCATTATTGATGTTAGCATTGGAACCTGATGAGGAGTAACTACTTGGAGTGAAGGTGGAATCGACAAGCTTCTCATGGGACGGGGATTCAGTGTCTCCTTGGTTGTTGCTAGATTTGTTGATGTGCAAAGGGCGCTGAGTAGTGAATGTCTGAGGGAATGAGCTTCTGCCATCACTTTGGTAATAGCTGACATGATTTCCAAACAAGCCACCAGCTCTCTGGAAGCAAAACAGAAGCATATTAATGAATGTATAAAAGCTCCAGTACAGAGGTAGTAATGTCCCACAGGAGGTTGTAAAGCAAATATAACACAACTGGGCTGATCTACAATGGTAGTTGTGGCTGTTCCAGTTGCTGTTGTTAGGCAAATCCCACATGGTCATTAGGCGCAACAACACATGACTGTCATGTGTGACTCCTGCTGGCTTCCCCCATTGACTTTGCTTGTTGGAAACCAGCAATGCAGGTCACAAATAGTGATCATGTGATAGCAAAAAGCTGGACCCATCATAATTGCAAGATGGTCACCAAGTGACCAAATTGCAATCATGCTGCAATAGTTGCAACTATGAAGAGCAGTCATAAGTCTCCCTGTTCATTGCTGTTGTAACATCAAATAGTCATTGAACAAGTGGTTGCGGAATATGCTATAATAGCATATCGTGTTGTGTGAATTCAGCAATCCATTTAGTAGGATGCCTTTTTGGAGCACTACTTGCAAATAAATATCTGGCTCTTAAAACTCCAATGTACAATGTCTTAGTTTCCCTATTGCACAGCAATGAGATGTAGTCAGGATGCTTCTGTCTATCAGGAATAGAATAGAAATCCCTCATATCCTCCATCTTTGGCATGCATATTCCTAAATTAATACTGGGTACTCAGCAATCCTGAGCTAAGTTCCCAGGAATCCTTCATTGAGGTGAAACTGAGCTAAGCAGAAACTACTTTAGAGTTACTTGCTTTCTACAATAGATTCCTTTAAGTTATTGTTTTATTCTCCAAAGCTGCAGAGGAAGAGGAAGGCAAGGGAGAGAGATGAATGAAATCTGTGTCTGTGTATTGGTGAATGTTTATGTGTATACATACTTATAATTTCACAATACAGCAAGTAATGTGGTTCTTGAGGCTATTCATCTCTGCTTTAACATGTTGGGAATGTAGAAACAACATTAACAATAGTGATGGAAATAATTTTAGTTTTGAGTTGTATTAATCACATTCAGCTAAGAAGGGGGCATGAGTCTTTTAAATCTGGGGTCTATGTACTACTTCTGCCAATCCTGTCTATTGATTCTGTAATCTTTGATTTCTCATAAGAAGTAGATACTGACTAAAAAGATGATGTTATAGTATAAATTTGAAATGCCCTTTTAAGATATCTGGTTTTTATTATTCTTAGTTATAGTTTTCTCTGTTCGTCCTGTACTGCATATACTTCAGTCTATGAATCTGACTGAATATTTTTGGATCATTCTGCTGCACACCAGATTGCATCTTCATGGTGAAAGCACTTACCCTGAAAATATCATCTTCAGAAGCAGCAGAAACAGCTTCTTTCATGGCCTTGTCTAATTCCTCTTCTGCTGTCAAGTCTCCAGATATTGCCCTTCGAATCTCTGGTCCAATGTCATGTAATGTGCGTAGACCAGCCTAGAAAATATTATGGTTTAGCTTACTGGTAGATAAAAGAAATAAAACTGACTTTAAAATACAGTATTTATTGACATTGGCTCTTAACACCTACTAAATCTCAATGTAATTTGGATGTTGTAGTGCTGGCGATTTTGAGCACAAGTCATAAACATATTTGTGCTGAATGCAATTTTCCTATCAGCTGATTCATTCTACAATTCTAAATTGACAAAAATCTTGTTGTAGAGTTTTGCAATAATAGTTTCCCTGTATCTGAAATATGAAAAAAGCAATTCAGAAAAAAGAGTACCACTTTCAATCCATCTGTGACAATGGATGTTACAAAGAATGTAACTTATAAATTGTTCCCATATGTAGTGAAGTTACTTGGTCTAGTCTGAAGTTTAGGGAAAACATGATGAAAATTACAATGAATGCCTTCATAAACATTTCCTAAATTTCACTAGAATTTTTGAAGGATCTATATGATGGATCCTTAAGATGCTGTTTGATAATAGAATAACCTCATAACTTTACTTCCTCATAATTATGCTCTAAATATTTGATCCAAGTATATTAATCTAGAAGTAAATATATTTCTTATCAAGACATCTTATTTCCAACCAGTGGTTCTTACATATGAAAATACAATTTTAATTAAAAGGGCCCTATTTATAATTAATTCTAATAACTAAAAAGGTATGTTAATGATAACTAGTATACCCAATTTATTAGTTTAAATGAAAATGCCTTTAAAATTCGGGCTGGGGATCATCATCTTGAGTTTGTAACATCAAAACTAATTAAATTCATATTTTTCAAGAAATGTTTCTCAGTTTCTGGAGTAGATCTTTGATAGGAAGGATAATGAAACTGCTGGGCTGTTTCTATCAATGTCATAATGGTAAGCAATATACAGAAGATCCACTTTTGACTTTCTTTTCTGTAAACCTCATGCTAAATATTCATTACTTACCTGTAGAGAAAGAGCATTGCGTTGTGAAGGTTTGCCCACGAGACCCTGTTCTTTGCGTTTTTTGAATTTTCGGAAATATTCTTGAATTAGGAAAGTGGCATAGAATTTTCCAACTGTAACTTCATCATCTAGATGGCAAAGATTTTGAAAAAAACAAAAACAAATAAAAAGCTAAAAACAACTGATAGTTTATTTGTTTTTATAATTTACCAACAAACTATTAGTTAATGATATTAATGCCTACTGTTTTAAAAAAATAATCTCCCAGCCTTTATTCAGAAATCACAGTGTTTTGCAGATTGGAACTGGTTAGAATAGAATAGAATGGAATGGAATAATAGAACAGAACAGAACAGAACAGAATAAATAGAGCTGGAAGGTACCTTGGAGGTCTTCCAGTCCAGCCCCCTGCTCAAGCAGGAGAACTTATACCATCTCAGACAGATGAATGTCTAGTCTCTTCTTAAAAATTTCCAGTGATAGAGCACCCTCGATTTCTGGGGGTAAGCTGTTCCACTGGTTGATTGTCCTCACTGTCAAGAAGTTTCTCCTTAATTCCAGGTTGCTACTCTCTTTGATTAGTTTCTAACCATTGTTTCTCGTCCTTCCTTCTGGTGCTTTGGTGAACAACCTGGTCCCCTCTGCCTTGTGGCAGCCCCTCAGATACTGGAACACTGCTATCATGTCTCCCCTTTAGACTAGCCAAACCCAAGAGCCATTCTTCGTATGTTTTAATCTCCAGGCCTTTGATCATCTTCTCTGAATTTTTTCCAAACTCTCAACATCTTTTTTGTGATATGGTGACCAAAATTGGCTGCAGTATTCCGGGTGTGGTCTTACTAGGGTTTTATAAAGTGGTACTAATACTTTGCGTGATTGATCTTGATTCTATGCCTCTGTTTATACAACCCAGGATTGTATTAGCTTTTTTGGTTGCTGCTGCACAGTGCTGGCTCATAGTCAAGTGATCGTCCACTAGGACTCCAAGGTCCCTTTCACAGTTACTGTTTTTAAGCCAGGTCTCACCCAATCTGTATTTGTACCTTTGGGTTTTCCTGCCTAAATGTAAAACTTTGCTTTTCTCCACACTGAAACTCATTTTGTCGGATAGGGCCCATTGTTCAAGTAAATAGAGTATTGAAAGAAAGATGGACTCACCACCTGCTGGGGGTACAACCTGATCCAACAGCTTCATGCTAGTGCGTTTCCAGATTTTCTTAATGATTGCACGCAGCTCCTCATTGGCTTGTTCCAAGTTACCTATAAGAAGAAATATTAGTAAAAAAAATTATTTCAGTTCTTGTATGGAGCAGTACTTTTATCTGGTCCACGGATAAAAAGAGAACCATGTAAAAATAAGAGGCCATCTTATAATACGATTTTTAATAACTCTGATCCTATTAAATGAAAAAAAATGACAACCTCTGTCTTTTGGCCTATTTTGACCTGTGAAACATAGTGATAGAAGTTTTTTTGAGGCTGAAGCCAGACTTAATGATCCTGAAAAGGTAGAATGGTATCTAGGGAAATAAAAATGTAAAGATTCCCTTGAACAGAAGAAAGTTTCATGAGTAGCAGAAATATTTTAGAAACTAGTGTTTTTTTAAAAAAAGATGTTTTAAAAAGGTTTCTCTACAGCTAGATGTTGGATTATTTCAGGTGACAAAGTTGTATCTATATATGAAATCTGAGTGGATCATAATTCATATTGCACCTACTCAAGTAACTGTTAATTCACCAAATATCTAGCAATAGTCTTCTATATTATGGCCTTAGCTTTATGATACTGCAATAGAACACTTGGAAGACAATGGTCCGATAAATGCAATTTAAAGTATGAGATCAATTCAGAACTGAAACTGTTTGCATCTTCTTCATATTAATATGGAAATGAAAATATACATGAAGAATTCTATATTTTAAATTTAAAATGCAAACTTAATTTTTCAAAATCAGACTGTTCAGTTTAATGTTCCACCTTGATTTAATTTACAGAATGTTAAAATTTAGTTTGTTTGCAATTTTTTTTAAAAAATACATTTTACATCAAATAAAAGAGAAAACATGTAGAAAAGCTATAACTATACCATTAATTATTATAACAGAAAAGAAAATGTAAAAAAGAATGAGAAATTAGGTTATAAGCAGAACAGCTCTCTGAAAATTGCCATATTGTTTGAACATCTTTTTCTTGACTTTTTCTTGAAAACACTTACAGATAATCCTTGGTTAATGACCACTATTCACATTTTCAGGGATAGTTTAATTTGGATTTGTCACTGAGCAGGTAGTTGGCCCCTCCCAAATCTATGTTTCTATGATTTTATGGCATGATAACACATATGCTGTAAGAAACCTATCAAGATTTATCCCATGTATTTCTGCTGCATATTAAGTGTCTTCTTACCTTCTGTTTTGATTCTCAGTGCTGTTCTTACCAATGCAAATAAAGTTGCATTAAACATAACAGTTCCATCACTATTCAATGGCATATTCATAGAGACAAGACGCTATGGAGAAGAAAAAGAGAGAAACACAATATTGAATTATGTGGCATATACCATATCAATTCATTATATTGTTTTCCCGGTTTCATTTTTTATAGTAATTGTATTAAGAATTATAATTACAACAGTAAAGACTAATACAAACTGAAAAAAAAACTAATATAATAAAAAGAAAAACTAGAAGGTGCAGAAAAGGAAAAAAATAGAAAGAAATGAAAAGAAAGGAAAAATAAGAATATATTAAGAGAAATATATAACAAATTACTTCCCCCTTCATCACAACATCTATAACAATTTTAATAACTTATCACTATTTCTTAAAATACAACAATCTCTTTTCCCATATCACATCTCTTATCTATAAATATAAATCCTTAAGTTGATGTCAGCAATGTCAATCCCATTGGCATTGACAAAATAACGTGCAGACTGGTGGTGAGAACTAAGGAGAAATTTCCTGATAGAACAATTAATCAGTGGAATAACTTGCCTCCAGAAGTTGTGAATGCTCCAACATTGGAAGTTTTTAAGAAGCGATTGGACAACATTTTGTCTGAAATAGTATAAGGTTTCCTGCCTGAGCAGGAAGTTGGACTAGAAGACCTCCAAGGTCCCTTCCAACTCTGTTATTCTGTATTCTGTCAATTGAAAAATTCAGCTTTACTTGGAATAGCTTACGTTTTGCAATGGTTATCTTCACAATCATCAAACAATAACATCTGTCTATCTCACGTCCTTGAGAAAGTTTTGCTAAAAATGCCAAATCCAGTCTAAACATCTGGCTAATGTAAGCTTTTCCAAGTAAAGTTGCCTTTTGCAATTGACTGATGGTGATTTTGTCAATTTCATGACGTTGATAAAAGTCGCAGTATGTAATGTATTTTAAAGTGTACATTGTGTGGGATTAATTTTAATAACTAGTAATATTGAAACAATATTAACAATACTACTATCCAGAAAATAAATATTTTAAATAAAAATATGAAATGTTAATAAAATGCAACTAAGCAAAAGTTTGCAGTCTAAGAAACCAGTGCACATTTCATGATAATAAAATCTATTCACTACATAATAAAAAAAAAAATCTAGAAATCACAAGCTTTGTGTATTGATATATTGGATGACAATTCCTATTGTCCCCAGTCAATATGACCAATGGTCAAGGTGGACGGGGTTTGTCATCCATCAATATATAAGGAAAAGTAATGCAAAACAGTAACCAGAAGGAAACAGAAACCTATCATACCTTGCAAGCTACCCTGTGAGGACAGAGTTTTCCAAAACCCAGGGGAGGTTGTATCCGACGCAGGAGTGTTACAACATCTAGGTGTTTGATACGTCCTCTACAGGAAAAATAATTTAAAAAAAGGCTTGTCAGGCAATATTCAAGGATATTGATGGCTTCTTTGGAATTAGGTGTCTGATTATACCAGTGTTCTGGATGATTTCTCCTAGCAGTTTCATGTAGATGTTGAACATCAAGGAATATAATAAGTAACCTCATATGAACCACAGAATGTTTGCTTAGGTGTCAAACAATGTGCTTCAGCACTTCCTTTTGGATAGGAAAGACCAAAAGCACTGCAAGAAAGCATTCCTGTGAGGGAATGCAGATGGAGTTGCAGTCTGCACTTGGGAAAAGCAGCTGCAGCCAAACAGACATGCTTCCCACCTTCACTTCCTCAAGGATAGACTCAACGTATCCTTTCTCTCAAGCAGTACAGGTATTGCTTGACTTACGACCACAATTGAGCCCCAACTTTCTGTTGCTAAGCAAGATAAGATAAGATAAGAGATAAGATAACCTTTATTGTCATTTTTATACTGTGGGCACAATGGCACACATCAAAAATGAGATTTAGTTGCCCGCTCTCAAAGTGAAACACATACATGATACACACCTAAACATACTATGTACAACATATGTATAGACCCACATCTCTACATGAGAGTTGTTAAAAGCAGTTTTGCACATTTTATGACCCTTCTTGCAGATATACATAGGCAATCTTACCCCACCTAGGCCCTAGCCTAGGTGGGGTAAGCAAGAAGCGATGTCTGGAATGTATGACTATTACAGGCAAGCAGGAGAACTATCAGTCAACTGCCAGGACCACAAGCTACTGTAAGCAGCCCATTGTGATATGATTTCTGCCTGGAGCTTGGCTTGGAACTTGGCAGCAACCATGCAACCTAATCAACAAGTGCAGGAACATTTGGAGAGAGGCAAGGGCTGTACGCCACTTTATAGACATTAAGACTTTTAACTTGTTAGAAGGACTATCTTTAGGACTTATTTACATGGCTACATCAATTTGCAAAAGCCTAGAAGGGTGGAAAGCCTAGAAAGTGTATGCTACTATACTGCATCTTGTACAGTTATGATCTAAGCTGTGGGGTGTCCAATCTTTGAAAAACAAAGAACACTCACAAATCCCAAATCCTGATTCCACCAGAAGGGCTGGAGTTGGTGATACTGAAACCTACTGAAAATCTAGGACAAGCAGCAAGTCTGCATTTTCGTCATGCAATTTCTGGCAAAGGCAATTTACCAAGTAAATAAAAGGAGTATCAGTATCTCCTGCCAGCCAAAAGCTCAACCGAAATCAATCTAGATAATTAGTATAATTTAGATGCATGCAGAGTTGTGAGGCCACCACCTTTTCAGTTGCCTAGGTGATCAAATGATTAATATGATGGGTGTGTGTGTGCTTAGGAAGCATAATATTAATGACCTTGATTGTTTCTATATTCATATATAATATTTCAGATATATAAGGTTAGAAATTCTCTGAGTGCACTGAGGTGTCTGGACTCAATCATTTTAACTGATTCTGACCTTCTCACCTTTGTAAAGGTTTGTACCAGCCATTATCCTGAATCTAATAAAAAAAAGATCCATCCTAAAGAAATCCCCCACTTTCAGACCATCAGTTCCACCCAAATAGAATACAAAATCCAGCATTTGCCCTGCTACACGTATAAGATTTGATACCATTTGGCTTGATTGTTGCAGAAAACATGAAATCCTAAGCAGCTCCTAAATAGAAACCTGAGTAGATGCTAAACTTTGTAGATAGAGTTACTCAGAGTTCCTTTCTTTTAGGTTGTGTGGCTGGGAACTTACTTGGCTTCAGGATCATACTCTGCCCAAATCCGTTTAAACTCATCCAGATGATGGGGACCCAGAATGGACCAATCACGGGTTAGGTAATCAAAATTATCCATAATAACAGCAACAAAAAGGTTAATGATCTGTAAATAAACACAAAAACATTTGTTCTACTGAAGAAGGTATTTAATGCCAGAATGATTTATATTTCAGACAAAGTGCTTCAACAAAGTGCTTCTCTTGAAAAACAATATGTACACTTAAGATCAAAAGGTGCTAAAAGGGGTTTCAGAATTTGCATATGGCTCAGGGATCACTACTTCGCCTCCCCTGACAATTTTTTTTTGGTTAAAAAATGCATACCACTACACAACTTTTATAGATCGCCATAGCTACTTACTAGAAAGGCACAAAGCATGTAGAAACTGATGAAATAAAATACAGCAAAGCTGCTCCCGCAGGGATGTTCACCTTCAGTATTACTGTTTGGTTCCACAGAGTCATTGTCACACTTCTTATCAGGTAGGCATGCCAGCATGATTTCCTGCCAAGCTTCACCAGTAGCACATCTGTTGAAAAGGGAGTGTAGTGGAGAAGAAGGTGGTTTATCATAACTGGTGGGGAGTTTAAAAATTAAGTACTCAGCAAATGACTCACCAGATAATTGAATCTAGCTGCCTCAGAGATCTACAGCATAGACAAAGTCATACTTCATAAGCAGCCACAGACGTTTGATAAAATGTCTATTGTACCTGATAGTTTTGGGTAGCTGGTCTATTACAAAGCATTTTGAGATTTGTAAAATATCAGATCTTATGCCTCATAAAACAGGTATTAAATTCAGTGGAATTAAAAATCAATTTGGCTTTGGTAGAAAAAGATTAAATCATTTCCCTAAAATATGATTAAATCAAATATGGTTTGTGATTAGAAGATTATTTTATTTTCATTTTTTTCAGTTTTCCAGTGTTGTCTTGCCATCATGGAAGTGGGCGGGGCCAAAATTTAAGTCTTACTGAAGGATTTAAAAAAATATATTTTTAGAATGAACCTGCTGGCTTATCTTAACGATGCCCTTGATTTCTTTAGTTCCTATTGGAAGCTATTGGGAAGCTGCAACATTATTTTTCATTACTGGGGACTTTGAGGGTTTTATATGGGTTGGCATCCTTAATAATAATAATAATAATAATAATAATAATAATAATAATGATAAAGTCGGAAGGGATCTTGGAGGTCATCTAGTCCAACCCCCTGCTCAGGCAGGAAACCCATTTTGGACAAATGGCTGTCCAGTTTCTTCTTAAAAACTTCCAGTGTTGGCGCGTTCACCGCTTCTGGAGGCAGGTTGTTCCACTGGTTAATTGTTCTAACTGTCAGGAAGTTTCTCCTTAGTTCTAGGTTGCTTCTCTCCTTGATCAGTTTCCATCCGTTGCTCCTTGTCCTGCCCTTCAGGCGCTTTGGAAAATAGCTTGACTCTCTCTTCTTTGTGGCCGCCCTGAGATATTGGAACACTGCTATCAAGTCCCCTCTCATCCTTCTCTTCGTTAAACTAGACATACCCAATTCCAGCAACCGTTCCTTATATGTTTTAGCCTCCAGTCCCCTAATCATCTTTGTTGCTCTTCTCTGTGTTGTGACCTACCTGAAAAGCAGGAGTACAGCCTGAGGAAATGTTTGAAAGTTGTTGTTCCGATTGATGTCTGTAGTATCATTTAATGCAATTTTACCAAACACCTAATAAAAGAAAAAGTTGATTCAAGGTAACGTTTCATTCCACAAGATATTCCTGTATCTGATAGTCTTAATATTCTTATTCTAATAAACTTATAAAATATACATATATTATATAATATACTTACAACAGTTCATTTTATGACCATTCGAAGTTACAATGGCACTGAAAAAAGTGACTTATGAACATTTTTCACACCTACAACTATTGCAGCATCCCTGTGGTCACATGATCAAAATTCAGATGCTTGGCAAATGTCTCATATTTATGATGGTTGCATTGTCTTGCAAAGTCAATGGGGAAGCCAGATTCACTTAACAGCCATGTTACTAACTTAACAACTGTAGTGATTCACTTAATAACTGTGGCAAGAAAAGTCGTAAAATGGGGCAAAATTTACTTAACAAATATCTTACCTAGGAACAGAAATTTTGGGCTCAATTGTGGTCGTAAGTCGAGGATTACCTGTATTTGCATGGTTCTGATATCTCAGTTCAACATTTGACATCTTCCCACTGCACTGGGTGTACATCTGATTGACAGTCTCCTTCTATATTACACCATTTAAACTGATCAAATCTTTTTATTTTGGGTTTAGATCTTAAGGTTTTTACGATCATACACTATTCCAATTTGCTCAATAAACATTTTGCAGACTTTTCATTTTGCTTCATCTATACAATAAGTACTCTTCTTTATATGTACAAATGATATTAATAAAAATAGTAAACTATTTTAAAATGAAATACTGGAGATATAATACAGGGCACAAGATTAATTATCATATTAAGTAAGAGGGCTAATTATTCTGTTTCTACATAAACCATCCTAAAATTGCTTAGGGAGGCTAAAAATCTTGTGCTAAGAAATCCTGCATATTACTGTACTCTTATGATATTTGTAAGGAAGCAGTTACGTAAAGTTTAATTTTCTCAATTTTACCTTCAATAAGTACACTATTTTCAAGATTTTCAAAGACCAGTACTTCTTTTTTGAGATGAAATTAATGAAATGTTGGAAATGTGAAAAACATAAGGGACATCTTGGGTTGGCATCTTGGGTTTCAAATGGTTGATCTGTTAATGCTTTCACTCTCTTGACCTGCATGCTTCACCGAAACCCAACTTAGCCTAGTAGCCTGATGCTGCACTATTAGTTGAACTGCTACTGGTTATGTTTCCTTCATTTTCACTCTATGCTTACATCTTTTGGGCAATCGTGAATGCAGATTATGAATGATGTGATAGACTATAGTAAGGAGTGGATTCTTAAGAGAACTATGAATTCCAGAAGAGGAAGAGGCAACTCAGTTCAGCTATTATGCAAGAGAGAAAGAGGGTGAAGACAGTCCCTTCTTATTAGTTGATACAGTATGTTGTAGATGCAGATAGTACAGTGGCAAGATTTTGTCTATAGACGTGAAACAATAAAGGACTCAGCTTGGAAGAATTGCTACATGTTATTCTTGGTTTGGGGCCTGGCAGATGGTAAGATAAGAAATAATTCTATAAATAATCAAAACAGCCTGAATCTCTTATGCTCGTCTTGGTACTTGAGAAAAAAGTGGATGGTTTGGAAAATACTGCAGGTTTAGAGCATCTGCACATCCTTCCATTTTCTGAAAGAGTTTTCTGTTCCTAATGACCTCAAAGGGAAAGTGAGTCGTAAAAATGTAAGTTTTCTTTTCTGCAGATTTATGTAGCCTAATCCATGTTACTTTAGTCACATAATGAAACATCTGCAAGCAAACAACTGAGTTTGTTGAACACTAAGGACTCCACTAAACTATTTTTAAAAATCTGGTCTGATAAGTCTTTGTGAGAATTTTAGGCTCAAATATCCTGAGCTATGCTGGAATCAAAAATATTGGGTGAATCATGAAAATGCCTTGAGCAGTACAAGTAGTCTTCGACTTACAACAGTTCATTTAGTGACCATTCAAAGTTACGGTCACTAAAATAGTGACCTATAACAGTTTTTCACACTTAAGGCCATTGTAGCATTGCCATGGTCACGAGAACAATATTTGGGGTCATGTGATCACCTTTTGTGAACTTCTGAAAAGCAAAGTCAATGGAGAAGCCAGATTCACTTAACAACCATGTTCATAACTTAACAACTGCCATGATTCACTTAACAAGTGTCTCACTTAGCAACAGAAATTTTGGACTCAATTGTGGTCATATGTCGAGGACTACCTGTACTTCAGCGCCTCTAATGTGCCACTGCAAATCCTTAAAATCTCCATGTATGCATTAGAGTATGCATTTAATATATTATGCATCTAATATAGTTTATGCACGCACCCCTACTGTATAAAATATGAATATCTGCAATTTTATAGGGTATGAGCATTATACCAAATTAGCGATGATAGAGAGGAACAGCAAACTAGTCACTCAATCACTTGTGCTGATCAAACAAACACAGATGACTTGCTTCCTGGTCTAAGGCTAGGCAGTAATTATCACTAGCGTGGATAGGAGACAACGCACAGAGAACAAACTAGAATCTCAGATCGTGGGTGTCCATCTGGCAATCTGGTATCTTATGTAATATATTTTCTTTTGAGGTTCATATGCAAAACCTTTGGAAATTCTGGTTGAACTCTGCACATATGCAGATTGTTCTGACAGTTGTAAATGCTGACAGTAACCCGCTTTTTAAAAGCAGAGAAATGCAAAACAGTAGTGCAAATTAAGCATCCAAACCAGACAGAACTTTTAAAGGGAGGTTCTTTTAAGTCAGTCGCCCGAGGAGCCCTGGAACTCTCTGGGTTCAGATTCTCCAACTCACTAGTTAGTAATGACAGTTGCAGCTGTTCTGAGGGGGCGCTGGGAGTTACTATTGCAAGAGGACAAATTAAACACTCTGAGGCAGGCCATAGTTTTCATTTCAGGAAAGAAGACGGTAAGGCAGAGTTTCTACATGGAGAGATTTCTTTTGTCTTTTAGACTCTGCACATAATCACGAGTACCACTTCGGCTAAAATCTGCCTTTTATTTTAGTTAACAGCAACATGAAGAAATGATTGCAGTGCTGAAAAAGAAAAAAAGCACAAAAGCAAATTCTTTTTCTGACCATGTTTACTGAGTCGTTAGGTGAGGGTTGGGCACCCAGCCAAGTTTCATGCCTATGGGAGGATGAGAACTCAGTTTCTAGTTCAGCACCTTTAGCCATTACACCAAACTGGCATTACTGTTATTAACCCACACATAAAATTAATTTAAAATTTTAATTTAGCCAGAATAAATTGGCATTTTAATTTTAGACGCCTTGACTTCATGTTCAGGTAATAGGCCACCATATGAAGTCTTTGACTTCACTTGAAGATTCTTTTCTTAATAGTTTCTGTAATTCCCTCTCCACATACTTGCAACAGTAAATATTAAATCTTGGAAAGACACTTACCTGCATCCCAATCACAGCGTAGATAAAAAACAGCATCACTATTAATAGAGCCACATAGGGGAGAGCCTGGCAAAAAAAATCAAAAGCAGGTAATGATGAATCATTTATTAAGAAAGCTAGCTTTTTGGAACTTAGGATACAATATTCCCATATTGAAAGCACCTGAGAGCACTGTACAACCTATGTAAAATGCATATGAATGCATTTACGTATGATGATGCATCAGAAAGTAAAAAATTAGATGATCTTGTGATTTCCCTTTAAAAACTTGTATGCACCATACTATGATTAATGTAAACTACTTATTTCTCCACTAGATGACTCTACTGATCCATTGTTGTTTTGCCATAACTAATCCTAACAAAAACATTCTATCTCTCTTAAATCATTACTATTTCTTCTCACATTAATATTTTTCTTAGAGTAAACAGTGCTTGCTGCCTATTATCTATCAGATCTATAAAACCATTTTTCTTAATATTTATATATATATATTTCTCTCCAGATAGATGATGATTTCAGCATTTGTTGTAATAAGAATTTAGCTGTAACTTTAATCACCATCAATAACTCTTCCCTATTTAAAAATTGTATGTCAACTGTTACATTAATACTTTTAAAAAGTAAGATAATTGTAAAAGAAAAATATAGTCAAATATTTAGAAATGAGGAACACATAGAATAAGAGCAAAAACTACCCAGTATAGAAATATGGATCCAATATTTTGAATTGCAGTATTTTGGAGTACATACATATGAGAAAAAGATTATCATAATTCACTCAATAAGAAATTATTTGAGCTCCACTAATTTTATTTCCATCAATGGGCATGGAGCTTTACAAAGAGAAACTGTGCTGAAAAAGTAGTCCAGTAGATATTACACTCTGGTCATCATATTTCAGAGATAATGGAGAAATATTGCTTCCTGAAATTAGAAGGAAAGCGAACATATCATCTTGTTCCACTTAGACAATCAAATTTTATTTATCTATAATTGTCTGAGGAACTTCTAAGAAGTAATAATGTTATTCAAGAGTTGAATTCCTCTTGCAGCCACCATGTTTCTGCATTACATGGGCATGTATACATGTTATAAAGAATTGCAGGTAGTCCTCAACTTACAAGCACAATTGGGACCATAATTCCATTTAATCAAGGTGCTTAAGTGAGTTGTGCCTCATTTTACGATCCTTTTTGGCAAGTTGTTAAGCAAATCCAGCTTCCTCCATTGTCATTGTTGGAAGCCAGATCAGAAGGTTGTAAATGGCAATCACATGACACCAGGATGCTGCAGCCAGCTGCCAAGCGCCTGAATTTTGATCATGTGACTATGGGGATGCAGCATGTGACTATGGGGATGCAGCAGTGATTATAAGTGCAAGGACTGGTTGTAAGTTACTTTTTTCCAGTGCCATTAAAACTTTGAATGGTCACTAAATGAATAGTTGTAAGTTGAGAACTACCAGTATGTAGGATTGACCTGGGAATCTCAAAAATTCAGCAAGAGATGCATAGAGAATAAATCTGAAAGAAACACTCTGCAGGTAGAGAATTGGTATGCCGCAGAAAGAACTCAGTAGGTTTGATTTGGACTGGAGACTGCTAAAAATGTATTTGCATGGGACCTTTTCTGAAGTCTCGGGTCTGTCTCCTGGTCAGCTGTATTCTTTTTATATATAAAAGAATATCTGTCACGCTCTTTTAATTTTTAAAATGATAAGGTGTGATTAAATAATTGTTGTGGAGTCAGGTGACCTTGACATTGAAATAGTTCCAGCCACACATCTCAGTTTTGTGGCTACCTGCATAGATTTCACCCTTGCATCCATGATTTTATGTCAGTTGGAAAGCAAGACCAAGATATGCATAAGGGTTTGGGTCTCTTGTCATGTTTGGACTGAGTCCACTTGCCAGTAATGGCCATAGATCAGCCTTCCCCTACCTGGTGCTCTTAAGATGTGTTGGGACTATCACTCCCATCATCCCCAGCCAGCATGTGGTCCAACACATCTGGAGGGTGCTATATTGGGGAATGTTGCATAGCTGAATGATTCCCCAATTGCATCAGCAAGCTGACCTGATGGACGGAAAGTGCATCACCTTTATTTTAATATAAAAACAATTTTACTATAAAATTGTTGTATTCACTTTTTGCCTTAACACTTGTATTGACAGGAATAAAACCCTCAGTTTAGGGTCCAATAATTTTGCATTTGGAGAAGTGTGCGACTCTTACAAATTTCTTTTTTTTAAAAAATAACTGTTTATGTTTGAGTTTCAAAATCCTCTACCCCGCCAGGCTTCATTCCATCCATCCTAATTTTGAGATTCTTGGAAATAGAAACTAATTTGTCCTGGGCAGAGACCATTCAGAAATTGTTGCTGTATCCCATAATAAACATGTAATGCAAGGAGCAGACTGAAACGTCACTGCTTCCCTGAGATAAGGCCACATAAAGCAGAAGGAAGGAGTACCTGGAAAGACTTGATGAAGGTCCAAAGCAGCGTGCGGATGCCCTCCCCTCGACTCAAGAGCTTCACCAGACGCATCACACGGAAGAGTCGGAAAAAGGTGATTGAGATGCGAGAGTTGTCCTCTGTGTTCTGGAATCCATTGGCACAGAGGGGCAGTAGTTACAACAGCAGGTGAAGAAAACCCACCCTGGGCCACAGAAAATGCGATTTCACAGGAAGAGTTCACTGCACTGTTCCCCTGCCTTAGAAACCCCCCCCCCATCTTTTACTCTCCTAATCTCTTCTCTAAACCCCTATGATTAATCTGTGTTTCCCACATCCTTCTTCTCAATTCACTGTGGTTCTTTAGGAGCATTTCAAACATCATTCTCCTTGTTTTAACAAAAACAACTTGCCAGGGCTCTTGCTAGTAGTGTGAAGCCATGTTTGCCTACCCCTGGCCTACCTCATTGATTAAAGGGTCATAACAAATGGCCAGGCAGAGCATTTGGGTGCGAAATTATTTAGTCTGCGAAACTTAGGCATGCAGTTACATTTTTCTCCACAATATAATGAAATTATATTTCACAATGTAATGATATTAGTACAATGAAATCATAGAAGCGTAGCTGTAGTTTACATTGTATCGGGGTTTTAAGAAGGAATATTGCAGATACTTGGCTCCTTGTTTTTTTAAAAAAAACTGCACACACAAATGTACCATGTTGTTTGATTGGGAGAAAGACTGATTATCCAAAATGCTATAAACAGATGCTGTTACGTTTGTGTAAATATTAAATATGTCAGAATAGGATTCTTCCTCCCTTGTACTGAAAAAAGTGATACCCCACATTTGGGCAGTTTAGAAGGAATGTGCAATTAAATGAAATCCTGATACTCAGATACAGAGTAAGTAGGCTCTACAGAATGTGTTTCATTTTGTTGCATGCTGAATAAGAAGTTCCTACTCCAAAAGGAGGTAGCATTGTTTAGCCATACAGACTTACAACCCAGCAAATAGCATGCAATCTAACTGGGATAAGGGGACCTTCTCTGTTCTCTTCCCTGCAGAAATCCCACAAGAATTGATGCATACGTTGTATTTGGAAACAATATGTCTGAAGCATGCTTATATGGGATTTCTTCTTGCAAGGGAAAGTCCTAGCTTTAAAATATGTTCACTTTATCTCTGATATACTTAATCTCAGCAATATGAGGAGCAATAGTCATTTCAAAGTTTGCTTTTAAAAGAAACACTTTTCAATGTGTCCTGCATTATAAAAATAAATTCAGTTAGAAGGATCCAAGATGAGACCCACACTAGTGCTTCTTGTGTTTTGCATACTACATCTTCGCTTATTTTCCCTGTCCCCAATTTTATTTCTCATGACCCCTGGGTATTTCCCACAGCCTGTCCACTGCCCAGATAATATAGTTATTTTGGCCTGCCACTACTGTTTAATAGTTTAAGAGTTTAAAATAGCCTTTTCCCCCCAAGTGGCTTCTGATGTTCTCATAGCTTAGTCCCTTAGTACAGGACTCCTCCATACTTATTCCCTTTAGGGCCTGTGACTTACATGGACATTCCTTTCACTTGCACTAAGCTAGGATAAGCCAGAATCAAATGGGTCAACTAGTTTCCTTTGGCTTTTGTGAGAAGACTCCCTACCAAACAGGCCGCTGGTAGGGAATTGGGTAATGGTGTAACCAAACCCTACCAAGGTAGACTAGTGAAGGATGAAGAGTTTTAGTACCCTAAGATATGGTCTGTTTCTCCTACATATACTGTAGAGCACTGGCAGATTTAAGAGGAAGTAATAGCACCTTCTTCCTTCTTATGCTCTTCAATTTTCCATGGCCTCCATCAAATCAACAGTTTGATGCTCTCTCTCTCTTTCTGATCTATCAACCTGGAAACAGTGCAGTTCACCCACCACCCAACAAACATATCTTCCAATTTGAGCTACTCACCACTTTCAGTGACCACGAGAGAACAGGTCCTTTGATTTCCTGTTAAGAATTTAACACTAGCTCTTCTACCCTGTGAGTATTTATGTGTCTATGTGCATATGTACAGAATTCAAATCACTAAACAATTTGCAGTTTTCTGGGTTTTTTCCTGTATAATTTATGTTATGTAAAATGCATCATTTTTCTTCTTTTTAAACGAGGCATAATTAAGATGCTGCGAATCAAATCTATGTTTTGACTTATTTAAAACGCATACAGGCTTTTATTTTTGTTGGGTTTTTTTTTCACTAGGCTTGCAGAAGTCAATGACTGGTTTTAATACTTAGAAACATTTTCTGAAATATACATGAAAATAATTCTATTCTAGAATGAATGAATGCCTGCTGTTCAAGGTAGGCTATTCAGGTGAAAAGGAAAGGAAATGCTATGCTACATGCAGTTCCCAAGTCTGACAACCAAATTTATTCAGGTTATATAGAATTTGCTGAATTAAGTAATGTAGTAAAAAAAAAAAAGGACATTAACTGACTTTTTAAAGCGAACCAATGTGGAACTATGGGAAATACAATGTTCTTTAGCATCATGTTATTAGACCCACAAATTATTCTGTTACTTTCACTTTTACTACGCGAGGGACACTTTATGCCATTGTAACATTATTGAATCTGGTTAAGTAATTGCCATCATAGAGTATTACAACTTGTCCTATCGAGTCGTGAGGAATACCACAGGCATTACAGTGTGGAGTTATAGTGAGATGAAATAAGAGAAAATAACATTAGCGTCTCCAGGTGATATTCCTCTCAACCAATAATGGTGTCATCGAATGGTGATATCCTAAAAGATAGCATGTGCTTAATAATCTCCCATTTGCCTGTTAACAAATGAAACATACATTATTTCCTGGATGGCAGGAATGGGTGCTTCAAGCGTATTGTCCACAATATGGAAATGTGAACAAAAACAAGAGAAAATCAGCGGCCAGGCATACAGACTAGTGTCAACCTCACTAGTCCAGTTCAGTCAGAAATACATTTCCTTCTCTCTTCCCTCACCTTCAATTAGAGATGCTTCAACAGGGTGAATTAATCACGCTGTAGGAATGACACTGATTTGAGCAAATGAGCTAGAACTGCATTGACCAAACCCTATTATCAACTTTGAAAATTTGTCTCTGTCTGTCGGAACCATGACATTCATATTCTATTTGTTCTTCTAGGTCAGAGGTAGGCAACCTTGGCTCTTTTATGGGTCATAAAAGAGCCAAGGTTGCCTACCCCTGTTCTAGGTCTTCATTGTCTGATTTTATTTTTGTATGAAAATATGAATATTAGCTTTCTTTTCTGTTTGAATTTATTTTGCAAGCCAATCCACTTGATTCAAAGAGCTCATTTTTTAACAAACAAGAAATCCAAAAAGGGTTCCAGTTCTCTCTTGGTAATAACTCATTTTACGGTAGGACCACAGATAACTTGACTGAAGAAAAAATCAAGGATGCACAAGAAATACAAATTATGTGCAGAATAATCAATACCAGACTCTACAAATGGATACACAACATGGAGGTTACATGCAGAGATAACTGGGCCAGGTTTGGAGACAGAAACCTAAGTAGTCAGGTTGGCAAGGGAATAAGGCATGTATTAGGAGATTAAGAAGTGTTACAGAAGAAGATGGTTGGTTTTTTGTGTAGGAATGCACACAGGGACAACAAAACATCACAGTGAGGAAGGAAGGATATAAAGAAAAAAATAGGACCACATAATAGAAAAGAACTATAGATTCTCTGGAATGCAATGGATCAAATTCAGCCATGGTTAAAGAGAGTCCTCTTATGGAATTCAACAGATTGCACACTCATTCACACAATTGTATTCTTGGGGTTATGAATTTTAATCCATTGTTTTACAGATATACAGATAACTTAATCTATCAAAAAGGGATTGTACAGTTCTCAGATTGGTTTTATATTTATATTTTATATTTCCAGAAACATACATTCCTTTAGCTATTTTCTTTGAAAAATAAATCATGAAGTCTAATTGTTTTAGGAATACAATTATATTAACTGAAGTGATAGAACTTTCCTTTGTCTAAGGCCAGCAGGGGTTTTCAACCTTGGCAACTTTAAGACTTGTGGACTTCAAAGCTGGCTGAGGAATTCTGGGAGTTGAAGTCCACAAGTCTTAAAGTTGCCAAGGTTGAGAACCCCTGGAACCTATCTTCTTTCTCAGTACTAAGAGCACAAATGTTAGAATACAGTAAAGCTTCAAATCTCTGGACCTTCATTCATCAGACTAAGGACAACAAAAGACAAAATTTTACTTCAGACTTAACTTCCTCAATGAATACATTCCACTATTTCCAAAGCAGTCCAGACAATTGATATAATCTATGTAATTTGTGTGATTCTCTGACAATTTTAATAGTTAAATAATGATGCAAAAGGCATAAATGTCACTATGAAAATTCAATTTTAATGGACATTCCACCAATATCCATTAAACTGAAATTTTATTTTTTTTAAATGATATCAGGATCCATTTCCAATTAATTAATATTAAAATAAAGCTAAGATGTTTTCCTATATATAAGAAATAAACAATCTCCACATGTTCTGGACTACAACTTCCACAATCACTTGCCAGTGGCCAGGCTAGCTGGGCTGATCACTCTTACATCTATTTATTTGGTAGTTGGCAAAAGCTAAGAGAACTTGATATCACAATATTCTTACCTTTCTACTACGTAAAGTTTCTGATGTTTTTAATATGCTTGATTTTTATTTCTGTATAACATTCAATTTTGGTTATAATTTTATAAAAAATCTGGATATATGTCCTATTGGACTTAATTAAACTTATTCTGTACATTGACTAGAAATGTACAGGATTGAATGTTATGTTTATGTTTTTTAGATTAAACAAAAGGCCCAATCTATTCTATTTGCAATATTGACCAATCGGGAGCAGATAAACAGGTATGATAGTTATCTTTGGTTTACCTCCAGTAGCTGTCAATTAGATGCTTATAACTCTGACAATTTTAATATGGTTAGCAATCATTGTAGAATTTATCATTCATGAAATTGTCTTATTTTAAAAATTTATATTTTAAAAATATTGGCTATTTCCACTTTCTATGCAATATTTTGGTGATAAACTGATAATCTTAGATCT